CTAGGGGGAAGCTATCTACATTTTCCGAATAAGTTCATGTTGAAAAACTATGATTTATTAGCATGAACAAATAAATACATATTTTTATGGCGTGGGATTAATTTAATCAAAGTCATAAAGATATTTAGGAGCTATTTATCATGTTTTTCAACTGAGAAATGTTGAATGTAAATATTTGTATTTCATTTTAGCTTCACTCTAAATCGATAAATTCAATTTATAAAACAAAAACTCAAATAGGTTGATATATGAAATAAAATAGATATATAATCAAAATCATTTTTATGACTCAACTCCATCCCACAACTATCCAGAGCACAGGACAAGAAAGTGAACTTGATTTTATTAAAAAAATCGCATCTTCATCTTCCCACTGCCTTATGCAAATGTGCTAACCCAAAAGTCAGTTTGAATGAGATTCAGAGAGCTCAGCAGGTGTCTAAAGAAAGCCCCCTGCCAAGGTTAATGTCTTTATTAACACTAAAACACGCCCAAAACGTGCGCATTTCATCAAAGCCCAAAAGTGCGGCATCTTCACCTTGGACACAAGTGTGTTGCACAACGCAGATACTCAGATTCCGACTCAGATTCGGATTCAGCAAACTAACCGCCCGACAGCTTTAATCCTATACCGGTTTCTCGGCTCATCGGTAGATGAGATGGGAGCTTGGGACTCAGAGCCGGTCGTGCGTAAGTGGATTTCAAAATGTTAATGGGCTGCGTGGAAAAAATTAAGTCACCAATGACAGAACCTCGCCGCGATGATGATGTTGGAGTTGCATTTATTTGCACGCCGAGCGGGCCAATCGCTTTAATTAAACTTTAATTAAAAACAACACAAGCCAAATTGCCAATTTGCAGCGACTGCGACGCAACGTTTGCTCGCTGATGTTTGCGATGATTCAATTAAAGTTTTTCAACACTGCCATCAGAGCACGGCTTAATGCGCAACACTTTTCGAAAGCTTGGCGTTTAATATTTCCCTGGAACCATTTACACTGGCAGATTTTGTGTTTACACGCGAGTTCAGTAAGCCACTGACTGCAACAAGAGCTTATGCCGATGGCGCGTTGTGTTTGCACAGATCAGGGAATTGAATGGGCTGATTGATGGCAAGTGTGCCGGAAAATACGTACGCTAAAATACACACATTAAGTACGCATGCAGTTTGTAAAGGGCGTTGAATTAAACGCCTTTTGTCAAGCGAACCAATATTGCATAATTTAAATTTACCATGATTTACTGAAACTATTTTTGTTTGTTTTGCATAGTACAACTTACTTTGTCATTTAAATACATTTATAAAAGTCATGCCCAACATTGAATTATCTATTTAAACTGACTGCAACGTTAAGTCCCGTTTTCCCGTAAACTATCAACCAAATACCATTAATCTGTTCATGGTAAACTCTACTTTTAGCTTACATTAAATGATATGAGATAAAGGGCCGAGTAAGGTTTAGGACTTGGACATTATTTAACAATTTTTTCGAATAATGAACTACCGAAGGTGTCATGATATTTGATACTACGACTGAACATTGTCGGATATTCTAACAGACGTCTACTAACTTGGTTCCCCAAATTATGAGTAATGCTGCTCAATTACTAATAACCCCTCGTTGCGCTCAGTGCAGACGAGTGTATTAAAAGAAGGCAACAGGCTTACGACCGACTGAGTATTGCATAAATTGGTTGCTCTTTTGCCAAGGAGTTGCCAGGACAACAACCAGAGCGAACTTACCAAGTGGGCGTTGCGAAGAACTTAAAAACCCATCATCGTGTTTTGGTATGGCTTGCGATGTTGTTTAAAATGCCATAAAGTTTAATTGAAAAACAAGCTACGGCATCTCCGTCGCATGCCGTCGCTCCCAACCCCCCGAACCACCCACTCAACATAATCAGCTTGAGCATCAGGCGGGCATCAACGTCGCCTGCAGTGACGCAACCGCTGTCAAAAGTTTTTATGCATTTTTCGGCTTTTTGTCACGACGTCAGCGGCAATGAGGATGAACGACCAAAACGTCAACAAGACGCCAAGTATTCCATTCCCCCAAACTACCCGATGACCCTATCCCCAACTTCTGGCGGCTGCTGTCGCTGTCAACTGCAATGCATCAGCAGCAATAGCAGTAATACACTCCGCAAAATATGGAGTTTCGGAACCTCTTTTGAGACTTATCTGTTGTCTGAAACTGTGTTCCTATGCAACTTAATGCTTGAATTGTATTACCCCTCTGTACTATTAGATATTCTAAATTATATCACTAGGGTGAGTAGCTTTAAGATGGTAGGTTCAGGCGTTTTGATTGTTACTCACATTAAACATATATGGTAACTTCTAGAGTCGTTAAGGATGTTACACAATTAGAAATATTAAAAACAAATTCGAACTAGTTTTGATTGTATTTATCTGAACAGTCTTTATACTGACATCGGGAAACTTCTTCCATTTGAAGTACACATTACTCGATTTTTTCAAGTGCTCGACCAGAAGCAACACGGGATGAAACCGAGGCTAGTTGGCTGCCGTTTTGTGATTCCGATTTTTTAAATTATTCAGCAAAATCTGTCTGCGGTCGTCCGTCGATCCATCCGTCCCACTGACTGTCTGTCATCGGCTTTTTGCATTTGTGTTCATCACTTATCGATGGATTTTGCTGCAATGCTCCACAACCGGTTCGGTGTGGCTCGCATCGTTTCGCTTCAGATTCGTTACGGCGGTTAATTAGTTTTTGTGGCCTGAAAAGCCCAGTCAAGCGTCGGCCTGTGATTGACTTGATTGGTCATCTGATGTCCCGATCCGATGCCGCAGTTTGACCGCAATTGCAGTTGCAATTATGCAGAGTTCATTAGGCTTTAGGCCCGGTCGGTCTAGCAGGTGGATAAGGGGCAGGCCAACGATTAACTGGGCCTTTGAGGGACGGGCATTATGCCTTGCAATGCATTCATTTATAATTAACCCCAAATCACCCTGTGCCGTAATGCTTTGCTGCATTTTAAATTAGGGGGATTTACGCGCACGCCCGCTGGTGTTATGGCTTACACCTCACACCACCATTTGCTGGCTTTCCTAATTCAAAGTGCGTTGCAGGAGTTTTTAATCCTTTAATGGGTCAGAAATCAAGTTTATTACTAATATAAAAAAATATTTGGCTACTAGGGTAAGATAAATAATCATCATCATTTGCTTATATTAAGAGGATTGATTAATGACATGAGTCAAACTAATTTAAAATTTGACAAATGATAAATACATAGTGACTTAGAGCTTTTCTGTTGAATTTTGGGATAAATTATACGCATTACTTGTAGAGTTAAAGGGTAAATTGCGGAATACTGCAGGCTGTTTCGTCCATACTTAAAGATTGACTTAAATATATTTGCTTCGTCCACTCTAACGCCCTCTTTATCCCATTTTTGATGATTTGGCAACATTGTAACTGAAAATGATTTTATGGTACTTTGATTTATTTAATCAATACCTATTGATTCTACTGCCGAGAACCGTACCATTCGCACTGTTATGTTAAAATTTATAAATCGGACGTGTGTATGAGATAAGTAAAGGTCTAATTTCCAAACTAACTCACAAAATATACCCTACATTGCACCTCATGCGGAACTTTAACTGGTAAAACTAACAAAAATAGTATAGTTGTTGTGTGTTCGACATTGTTCGGATGAATTGTGTTTGACTGTTATCAATTCGTACCATAATCCGGAAAACATAAAATAATGACACTGGCAAAAATCATTAGTGGGATTAACCATGTAGGTCAACTGGCTTACAGTGGCTGGTGGCACAGTATCGCATAATCACACAACACCCACTCGGCTTGGCTTGCTCCATTCAAACATCACTCACTCCCCCACAAACACTCGCTAACCACCCAGCCCGGCATCCTGATCACCCATGTCTGCCACAATTCCAACAGAAATCTCTTTGTGTGTATCCTCATAAGTGTTTTGCTTTTTGTTTCGTCTTTCCCCACAACTCACCAATCCCAAAACCCCGAATCCGTCAAAATCCCGAAACCCGAATCAATAGAGCACGGAAACTGCAGAGTCGACTACGGATCAGGCGGTGAGTGAGCCGCCGATCAAGCTGGTCCACGTCTTGAATCCCGGCGAGCGGGAGTATCTGTCGCCCAATCTAATTGGGGTTCAGAACATAGCCATGACCTTCCTGCCCCTGTCGATGAACTTTGTGAATGTCATCGATGCCTTTCGGGAGATCACCGCCGGAGTGCGCTACGAGATCCTGCTTAATGCGATAGACCAGAAGGCGAAGCAGCCTGCGGAGGCGGACATCATCTGCCGGCTGGTCATCCTGGAGAAGCCCTGGCTGCGCACCCAATGGGGCGACAAGCACCGCGAGCTGGTCACCTCCAACTGCACCGACTCGGCGGAGAACTCGGTGACCGGAGACCCGGCGGAGAAGGCACGGCTGCTCAACGAGAAATACGTGAGTAATAGCATCTTCAATGGCGGTCAAAGGAACGAGCTGAGCGACGCAGAGATGGCCCATCTGGAATCTCAGATACTGACTAACCTGGGACCCATGAAGCGGAAGGTCAGCGCGACCAAATCCGCTCCACCGACTCCTCCTGCGGCGTCCTCTCCTGCTGCGCCCGCTCCTACTGATTATGCCGCTCCTGTTGCCATAACCGCTTCCATAACAGTCACCAAGCTCAGTCCACCTGAAGCCGCTAATGAGGCCGGCACGGCAATTAGCATTGATGAGGCGGAAAAAAAGGCTGTGGAGGTGGAGGTGGAGAAGAGGCCCGAAGAGGAGGGCGTAGCCTCCACCACAGTCGCCACAGAGCTGAACGATAATGAGAAGCGTTGGCTCGACGATATCCTATCGGTGGGTGCGTATAACTTCGAAAAGAGCCAGGAGAAGGAGCAGCAGCAGGAGGAGACCGCTCAGGAGCGGAAGGACCCTGAGGTGGAGGCTACTACCATATCAACAGCATCATCATGAATATCCTCATTATCATCCCAAACACACATACACACACCCCCATCCTCCACTGTCTCTGTCTTTTACACATAAATACTCTTTATACGTACTCTCCTTAATGCGAACAATAAAAAAGGAAAATGTTATTTAATTGAATTTATTTAAGCTTGCCTTTTCACCTGATGCCGATGATGACGATGATGGTGGTGGGGTGGGTTCGTCGGGATTTCTCGTTCTAGCACCCCCGCAAAACACTTATTTCACCTTAATAATCAAATGAGTTTCCGCTCTCAAATTACGGCCGCAATCTGTTTAACCCGGCCCTATCTTAGCCGAGCCCGTAGCACCTGGGGAGGGCCATCTGCGCCTGTCTATATGTCTTGGGGATCCCAAGTGCCGCTATATATGAGAGGTTAAGTGGGTGGGGGTGTGGGGGCCCCTCCTGCGGCACGGCCATGCAGTGCCCACGGTGTCGACAGAAGCAGAAGCACACAGAGTGCGAGGCAAGTGTTCTCATTATCCTCGTGCTCTACTTTTTACAGCGGTTGACTCTGTGGGCCACGCACAGTGGGTCGAAGGCGATTTGTCTGCGGGGGTGGGCACTTTCCACCCGACTTAACCCAGAGAGCATAAGGGGTTAAATAATCAATGACAGAATCTGAAATTTTAATGGCGTAACGCTACTTTGAAGATTGCGTCTGTTTAGACGGCATTTACGCCTTTTAAATCCTGCTCGTTTGATTGGGGAAATATGTGAGCAATACAAGATTTCCTTACAATATACTCTTTCTCAGATATTACAAACTAAATTATTTATCTTAATAAAATAGTAACTAATTTTCTTCCATCCCACTACTACTACTTCGTTTGTTTGACATCGCGTCTGCTTTAAACGTTTATCAAAATCATAATACCCTTTGCAAGGGTGTGAAAACCATTGCTGCATAAACTCTTCGTTTCTAATTAATAAACCTATTAATTACTGGGTTTAAATGCACACACCATTGGGGGAATAAATTACATTTTAATGGTAATAATTCGATTCAATCTGGGTTTGACATTTTCAACTATCGGAAATCTCTTTCCTACATTACTTCCAACCCATAGGAGTGCCTAATGAGCTCCTGGAAAAATCATCGGCGAATAAATTAATTAAGTGCTTTGAAAATGAGAACCACTCAGTTGCATTGCTGATTTACGCCAACTGTCAGAAAGCATAGAGCCGCGTTCAGCACTTGACTGTCAATATATCCAAATGGATTTCACGGACCATTGCACACACCGCCCATCACACTTGCCACCCAGTTCGCCACACACTTTATTTCAGCACCCACTGTGCCCCGGGTCGTTGAAACATCATTTACGTTATAATTCTTATTGAAATACACGTTTGAATTAACAGTTCCGGTGTTGGGATAATAAAAGCTGAGGTGGGTGGAGTTGGATAGCAGGCCGGCCTGCAGAATTCAGGCTGGAAAAGGGCGGCAGTACAGGCAGCTTAATGAATTCATGTTCGGACACAGGCTGCACACATCGAAGAGGATGGCCTGGGACTCCCATCGAAGCACGGCTCGACTGCTCCTTCTTTTTCTGTTCCTGTGTTTTTAATTATACACACGTCGTAGCCATTACATTCCATTCGGTATTGTGTCGCATCTAGATGACCTGCACTCGAAAAATGGTTCCACTGCGTTTTCTCAGTTTACTTGAGAGCTCTCGGAACTGACAGCTCCGTTCGTACTAGCTTGGGAAGAGTGGTCTTGGCCAGTTTTTGACAATTGCCCTTATAAGTAAGTTTTAAGAAGCATAGCCTCCATAAAATATTGATGAATAGACTCAGACTTAACCCACTGAATTCTACCAGCGCCTTATATAGATACACAATCTATTACAGCTATGAGCTTGAAATAAATAAACACAAGTATTTCTAGATCCACGCCTATAAATGCGTATCAAATATTTTCCACCTTTTCCGCAGCATGTGTGTTATTTCCAGCCTTTTTAGGCCGTAAAATGTTTTGAGTGTGACTCCACCTGCAGTCCCCATTCGCATTCGCCATGTCAGTTGGCTGACTGCGTCAGCAGGAGCAGACATTTGGCTCCTGGCTGTGGCTGTGGCTGCGGCCCGGATCCTCAGAAACCAACTCCCATCAACGGCATCAACATATCACCATCATCGATGCCAGCCGGCAAACGAATATCCAGCCAAAATGTTTGGTTTAATTGGTTTTGTGTTCGGCATTGAATGGTTTATGGGCCGCATGTGTCTGTCGGTGTTATTGTTGTCCTATTCCACAGCTGGAGAGGCAATGCCTTCGGGCCTCCGTGTTCCTTGCCGCAACTCTTCTAGCCACGTGCACTAGTACGAATGTGTCGTTGTGTCAATTTCGGTAATGTAAATTCAGACATGTCCTTGTTTCATTTGCATTCGTATGTTATTTATGTGCCAGTGCCAGTCCCCCTGAAACCCCCCACATTTCCACTCTTTTCGGGGTCGGAGGTCTGATGTGGTGACAGCTGCGTGTCTGTTTGTAATGGATAAGTGTTTCCGTGTTGCGTAATTAGCACGAGATTAACGAACTCTCAGACGGCAAACAAAGGGCTGATTTGGTTTGACTTCTGTCTTTCTGCTGCCTCGGATGTTTTTGTTAGGGATATTGCATAAGTACAAGCATCAAACCCCCTGTTAATGATAAGTTAAAGTGGGCTTAGAATCCACCCATTCATGCATAGTCTTAACTAAACATACTGACATTTCCCTATTTGCCTGTCTTGTTAAATGTTCTTAAAACCATAAAGGAGGTACCTCCAAATCTGGTCTACTTAAAAAATTTAAGTTTTTCGATTTGGGATCAGTATGGCCAATAATTCACATGGAAAGACAAAAATCTGGGTCCAAGTAGGCTGAAGGAAAGTTGTCAGTATCCTTTGGGTTCAAATCCAAATTTCAGTTGACATCACGCGGTATACTCGAACGGAACTCACTATATCAAATACGTTTTAATATATTTTTGTAAGTGAAGGTAATGAATTTCCAAAAATGTTACTAAACTGATAGATACGATTTTGCAGAGATTTTTTTCACGATGAAGCAATTTGCACTGACGACCTGCATCCGCCGTATCTGGATCATGTCCGGTTGGTTGCGCCAGGAGGCGGCCATTGCAGCTGGCATGTTGGTGGTGCAGCGTCATCAGGTGGAGTTGAGGGAGGAGGAGGAAGTCAAGGTCGAGCAGCAGGTGGCAGCCAGTGGTGGCGAGGTGGGCGTCGATTCCCAAGGCAGACTCCGCCGTGTGCGCATGCTCGACGATTACATTCTGCCCTTTGAATGCGGCATGTGATTCTTGATCCGTAGCTCCCGTTCTTCTATCTGGTTCTGCCCTTTAGCTGGGGTCTTGAGTTATTTTCGCTTTTTGGAGTACTTTGCTGTCTGCGCTTTGGGAGTTCAAAACTGTAACGTGGTCGGCCTTCTGCAGAAGCCACACATCCAAATTTTGGTCTGACCCACGTAATCGTCACTGAATCATCAATGGAGTCTCGTTCTTCACTTGGACGGACAACGGAATAAATGTGTTAATCAAAGCATTGGTTTCATGCACCAAAATTGTAGACGAATATGTCTGACTTTGTTTATGTAAAATTTTATTTTTTAAAAGTAGTTGAAGTTCATCACTACATATTTGCGAATTTAAAATTAAACAATACTGGTGTCAAAATCACAAAGTCTAAAAATTGTTAAAGGTGCCCTTACTGACTGGTTTTATAAGATCGGGGCTATTCATCACCTTTCAACTTTAAGAATCGAAAATATAAGAAAATAAACATTGTACATTAAAAAAGGGTTATCTTAAATACACTAAAATATAAAGTATATGAATGGCATTGCTAGAAGAAATCGTATGCCAAAAATTGTGTTCAGAACTGTTGATACAAGTTAAAAAAACTGGATTTACTTAATTGTCTTTGATAATAATATTAAGATATAGTATATGGAAGTGTTCGGGCTTCATGGGCTTAAGTCTGTTTGACGTGAATAAATACATCTGCTTACTAAACTGGAGAGCCAAACATTCAGCATTGGTTAAATACCCTATTTTATGTGCGTACAGCTTTGTCTAGCATAGGTTAGATAAAAGTATACTGTTTCGTTTTTACTGGTATGTTTTTCCCGAATAAAAATTATATACATATGGTGGGTCGATTTTAAAATTAATTTTTTTTCCATTGCATGCTCTGGCTTAAAAAGTAGAATTAGTTTATTTTGGTTAAACAGTAAATAGCACAATAAGATGTGGATGTGTCTACGACAGCGGTCATAAGCTATCCATTAAGGTGTCATTGGAAATAGCTCTGCGTTTTCTTTGTCCTAACAACAGCGGTCGGAACAAAGAACAAAATTTCTTTTTATTACGTTCCAGACCACGAGAATACTTAAAATATTATTTGCGTTTTTAAAATACTTATCAACATTACTTATTGCAGATCCATCGCAGCAGACGCAGCCTGAATGACATCGTGGGTGAGCATAAGCCTTATGACGAGGAAGCGGCAAAGGCGCAATTGCAAGAGTCCCTTGATAAACTTATCGCCGGCGAGGGTCCCCAGTACAAGTAAGCCCACATAGAAATTAAAGCTTAACCCTTTCGACCGCGACTTTAAAACATACGCTGCAACGCCCACAAACGACCATAACGCCAAAACCTGCTATCAACCACATTTTTTTAAATATTTTATGTGTGAATGCAATTTTGTTTTGATTTTCAATATATATCTTCATGTCAAAACTTGTTAAAGTAGGACTCTTCATTAAAATTGTATAAGCAAATAAGGTGTGCAATCTTGGGAACAATCGCTTTGCTGCTTGCATATCCCCAACCCCCTAGCCCTCCCCTTAAGTGACTGATAAACTTAGTAACGACTATAGCGTATTTTCTTGTTCTATAATCTAATTTTGAAATAGTATATATCCATTTTTACATTACTTACTTTTTTTTACACATTTAACACCGATTGAATGAAACAATTTTATATGAGTTTAGATCCACTTAAATTACACTGCAAGGATATATACGAATCCTTTTTTCCTTATCATTCCTAGAGAAGATATCCATAATATGATCCTAATGCAAAAGAAGCGCCTAGTGCTAGCTGTTTGAGTTGTAAAGTTGCTCACAAGCATCTTTTGGTCGAAAGTGTTAACCTTTTAATGTTGGTCCCTTATTAAACTCATCATACATTGTATAGGCAGATTAAGTTTACCAAGATTTCTTATAGAAATATCGTAGAAATTAGCAACACTTTTTTTTATGTATCAGTAATTATAAAAAATATTTCATTTATGACTCACAATTTTCTATTTTTCAGAATCGTGAAAGTTTACTCCGCTTCGCGGCAGGTGGTTTCAGGCACCTTGACCCGCATCGACGCGGATCTAATCGATGGCTCGGACTCCAAGCACCGCTGCATCGTGGAGATCTGGACAAAGGCCTGGGTTAGGAAGGATGCTCACGAAATCACCTTTAAGTGCCGCAACCAGCCTGTGGTTCAAGCGCGCCACAGCCGATCCGTAGAGTGGGCCGAAAAGAAGACACACAAGAAGCACATTCACCGCACACTGGACAAGGTGGATCACCTGTTCCACAAGTTCCAGGTGCGATTTGGCCGCCGCTACGTGAGCACCGCCGAACGCCAGATGCGCCTGCGCATCTTCCGCCAGAACCTAAAGACCATCGAGGAGCTGAACGCCAACGAAATGGGCAGTGCGAAGTACGGAATCACTGAGTTCGCTGACATGACAAGTTCGGAGTATAAGGAACGCACTGGTCTCTGGCAGCGTGATGAGGCGAAGGCCACCGGTGGATCTGCGGCTGCGGTCCCGGCGTACCCTGGTGAACTTCCCAAGGAGTTCGACTGGAGACACAAGAATGCCGTCACACAGGTGAAGAACCAGGGATCGTGCGGCTCGTGCTGGGCCTTCAGTGTGACGGGCAACATCGAAGGTCTGTACGCCGTGAAAACCGGCGAACTGAAGGAGTTCTCGGAGCAGGAGCTGCTCGACTGTGATACCACGGACAGTGCCTGTAACGGTGGCCTCATGGACAATGCCTACAAGTAAGTGCCGCTGGAGCGAAGATATTTTTCACTTTCTAATCGATGTTCCCCCTACAGAGCCATCAAGGATATTGGCGGCTTGGAGTACGAAGCTGAGTATCCATACAAGGCCAAGAAGAACCAGTGCCACTTCAACAAAACCCTTTCTCACGTTCAGGTTTCCGGATTTGTGGACCTGCCCAAGGGCAACGAGACCGCCATGCAGGAGTGGCTGCTCACCAACGGACCCATCTCGATTGGTAATCAATGAAAAACTAATTCCCTGAAGTTTACTCTAACCAATATTTCTGTGTAGGCATTAACGCGAACGCTATGCAGTTCTATCGCGGCGGCGTCTCACATCCCTGGAAGGCTTTGTGCTCCAAGAAAAACCTCGACCACGGTGTGTTGGTTGTGGGCTACGGCGTCTCCGACTATCCCAACTTCCACAAGACCCTGCCCTACTGGATCGTGAAGAACTCGTGGGGTCCGCGCTGGGGAGAGCAGGGCTACTACCGCGTTTATCGCGGTGACAACACCTGCGGCGTCAGTGAGATGGCCACTTCAGCTGTGCTCGCCTAGAGTTGATTTGAGTCCACCTTATATACATACATACGACTATATCTAGGTTAATATTTCAGCCAGTAACTTTATGTACAATTCCGTTTCAATGTTCTACCGACGCGATGAGGAAGTCGTTAAGTTTTAGATCTTCGCATATACAGTATAATCATTTCGGGCATCTGTAATCTCACGCAAAAGTCTGCATCCACATATTCTGCTTTAAATTGAAATAACAATAAATTGTACAAGAAATAAACATTTGCAGCCATTTATTCAATGATTCAATCGATGTTAGCCTTTGTCGCAGCAACAGTTGGTCATGGAACAGTGGGACAAAAAAGAGGAAATATTCAATCATACGTATAACAAAAAGATGTTCGTTTTGTAAAAGCCAATTCAGACGCCAGGAAATAGTTAGAATATTCGCTTCACCAGCTAACTTTTTTCATTTTTGGTGATCTGGCATTGATTTTAAAGCCCAATCCCACTGTGCAGAAGTGCAGTATGCTAATTAGATTTAGACCAGGGCCGTCGCCCCATTGGAAGCCACACAAAGTGTGGGTTTCTGGTGCAGAGCGGAGCTCAGTAGCAGCTTGAAGCGCATCGGCGGCGGTGAACGGAGCAATGGCCATGGACGACTACGATGATGACAGTAGGTGAGACCAGGACGAAGGATGCAGACCCTTAATTGCGTACCATCCACACTTTCCAGTGAGCAGCGTGGGCGTAACCACGGCCCGGATCGAGAACCAGCACCACCAGCAGGGTCAGCATGGACACCACCAAGGTGGCCAAGGCCAGCACAGCGCCGGGGCGGTGAAAGTGGGAGGATGGCGGTACGAGGACGCCAGTCGCTACATCGGCGAGTGGAACCAGCGGGGCCAGAAGCACGGCATCGGACACCTGCAGTTTGCCGATGGCACCCGCTACGACGGCCAGTTCCAGGAGGGTCTTAGTCAGGGAGTCGGCTGTCTCTGGTTTGCGGATGGCGCAAAGTTAGTTCGGATAATAGTAAGGATGCAAACCTTCAGAAAATACTTCGGTCATTTGATTTATTCAAATCCAACGATTCTGTTTTATTCTGCACTTTGGGATTACACCAAAAATTTAATGATTCTTAACGATTTGTACAAATTTCGGTAAGGCGCAGAAAAAACAGATTCAAATGGTTTAGTTTTCACATCACTTGAACATTGGTTTGCGTCCTTGTGGAAAGTAATTTAAAATGGTATTAATTTTAGTCTATCTCCAAGCCAGATACGAAGGCGAGTTCCATCAGGGCTGGTTCCATGGCAATGGAATCTTCTGGCGCGCTGATGGCATGAAGTACGAGGGGGAGTTTCGTGGCGGCAAGATCTGGGGCCTTGGACTTCTGACATTCCAGGACTTCACGCACGGCTTTCCCAGGAACGAAGGATTTTTCCAGGACTGCCGCTTTATGAGACGGCGTCGATGTCCCGAGGTAGTGCAGCGGGCTCAGAAGTGCGCTCTTATGGCCCGTTCCCAGTGCGAGCACCCCTACTGAACAGAGCCATCCGTTAATATTGGTGAACACAAAAGACCGAAATCCTTTAGAAGCTGAAAATAATCTGGGGACAGCTCGAATTGATTTAATCAAACACCTAAATAAACAAAAAATTAGGTGAACTTGCTCACTTGTTTTAAATATTAACAAGAATATTAATTTTACCCACATCAATACATGCTATGGAATGTGGCTAGCTTGCCCACAATCGTCTTTCGCCAAATGATTTTAATGTAAGTGCAATCTACCGATTTGCTTAGCTGTATGCAATGTCATTCCAAAAATGTCAGATTTTACACATACACCTTTCTAAGTGCGATAACTCCTGCTTTTTGAACTTGAAATAAAATTAAAAGAGTAATGAAAAGCAACTGTTAATGAGGCTTAAAATGATTCTCTACTGATAATTATCAGTTCATTTATAATCGTTGATCGGTAACAAAGTCATCAGTCAACTTTATTTTCTTTCATTGCTGGATTTTAAAAGAATTAAAATAAAATTGTTTCAAAAAATTAAAGAATGTTTTTAAAATTTTAAACTCTTTAGTGATTTAGATTTAGACTGTTTACAGAAAATCTATCGCTTTCCCAACTATTGGATATCGGCCAATTTCTGTTGCCATGCATTAAGGCGGGTGAAATTGGGACCTTAAACATTTCCATACGAATGTAAGCCGCCCTAATAGGCACGAAAAATGCAGTGTGTGAATAAAAAATTACTGAAAGGCGGCTGTATCGATTAAAAAGAAACGGATGTAATATCACGATTATTAATATAACATCTCTAAGCCTTATATGCCTAGAATCTTTCAAAAGGTGATACCGCCTCTGCTATTGACTTTAAACCTTAACAGAAAAAACAACAAAATTATGAATGTAGATCCTAAAATTTGTGCGTTCGCTTATTGGCTTTAAAGTATTAACAAGAATGGTAATGTTCCTTGGCTAGTTCCCACTAGGTGCTCCGACCAGGTACCAGGCATTCCTGGCCTTGACCGCTGTGTTCCGCACCAGTCTCTTGGGATCATCCAAGGCGGCGGCAAGGGCCAATGTAACATCCACTTTGTGGGGCAACAGGACGAAGGTGGGATACTTGGTAATATCATAGAGCAACTGCAACGCCGCAATACGAACTTGCTGTAAGAAATAAAATAAACTTTTAGGTAATTCTGATTTTAGCTAATTTTTCCCAAAAGCAAAGAATTAGTTTCAAGACTTATTAGGTTTACAGAAGCCTTTAAATCATTAAAGTCATTTACCATAGTGTGCTGGGCCTTGTATTTTGATAGCTCCAGGCAGCTGGGTATAAGGTGGGCCAAGTGCGCCTGGAAGTATGCGTCCTGCTGCGCCACAAATTTTTCACAAATGCCGAGTGCGATGCACAGCGACTGCGCCTCGTTGTGCTCCTCTAGGCTCTTGAAGAGCAACGGTCCTAGCTGTTCTATGTTTAGCTTGATCACGGCCTGTGGTGTGGCTTTCAGTACGTAAACGAACGCTTTCAGGTGGTGCACACAGTAGTTGGCAAGCTTACTGCCCATCTTCCCCATGACTGTGTGGAAGAGCTTCTGCTTGTAGAGGAACTTAACCACGGGCAAATCCAGTTCCGGGTATTCGGCGGCAATGATGTCGAATCCCAAGGCTGCGGCAGTGCTCAAAGTAGGATGCTTTAGCAGATCAGAAAGCTGATAAAGAATACAATGTTATTGTAGCTAGCGAATTAAAATACTAATTTATCAGTACGTACATCACCAACAATATCAGCAGCCTCATCGAATCCCGCGACCACTAATCCTTTCGCCACCCAGGCCAGAATCTCCACTGCCCGCACATCACCCTTCTTGATAGCCGCCTTAAGCTGATCCGTGATTTTCTTGACCTTTCCCAAGTTGGCTGGATTGCTCTCCATCTTGTTGACCATGCTGCAAAGCAGGTGGTGAGCGATCACGCGCAACTGTTCATTTTCCGAGTTTAGGGAGAGCTGTGTTAAATCGGATAGAAGCCGCTCAAAGTGATCATCCAGAGTGATATCCTTATGCAGATAGCCGAGCAACCCCTTGGTAATGTACAAATCCGCAGACTGATTTAGGTTGAGTTGGGGAAGGTATTCGCTAACTATCGCACTTTGTTCTGAGAGGGGCAGCTGCTGGGTGATACGACTTAATGCTCCCGCAATCTGCTCCAAAGACTGCAGTGACAGACCCTCCGTGTGTTGGCCCAACTCAATGAGCTTGTGCAGCAAATTGGACTCCTGCTGCAAATCGACGACGAAGCGCTGATCCTCCAGGAGCAGCAGTTTGTTCAACGCTTCTAGAGCCAGCAAGCGAATGGGGTCCGCGGTTGTGTCCTTGAACGACTGTGTCATAACCAAATCTAAAATGCGTTGAGTAAACGCCATTTGAGGCAGGAGGGGCAACAGATTGGTGTATATCTTCCGCTTGACAAAGTTGGAAAAGATTTCGAAGTTTCGCACGCAGACGTCGATAAAGTTTGACTGCACTTCCACCGGCTGCAGAGCTCCGAGACTGACCGTAAGTGTGGTGAAATCCAGGTCGATGGACGGATGACTAATGAGCTGAACTAGCGCCTTATAGACTAATGCGCGTTGTTTCTCGCTGAGAACTGGAGCACTTTCGTTAAGCACAGAAAGCGCCGCCTTCTGAAGCTCCAAGTCCTCCTGCTTGGGATCGAAATCTTCCTGTTCGATAAGTCTTAAAGAGGCAATCACATCGTCTTGCAGGGACTCACATATCTTAGCGTCCAGTTTCTGAAGAGAATCGCGCAATGCAGACAGTTTATACACCTGGCTAACTATGTGATAGATCTTGATTCGCTGTTCAGACCCTGCTTCTGTGGCCTGCAACTTAAGCAGAAAACTGTTAAGGATCTTGTCCGCCGCGTAGGGCGCGTCTCCCGCCACACACACCAAGGCGATCCCGGTGGCAGGATGAAAAAGGCGTTGATTGACATCGCTGAGGTGTGGCAGGATTACGCCCAGGATAGAGCTCTGGTAGCTATGGCTGATATCGGGTAAGTGGGACGCTCTCTCTAGGAGCGCAGACAATGCCTTTAGGGAGGCCTTCAGGATTTCCTCGTTGTCATTTCCGGGAAAGGTCTCTGTTTTCAGAGCCTGCCAAATCTGATCGAAATGCGGCTCCAAAACTGAGGGTGGGAATTTCAAGGCAGCTTGGTGCTGTTCCAAAAATAGAAATTAGTAAGGGCACGAGTTTTAAGGTCTACATTTATCTTGCCAGCAATTCTATGGAGTCCAGTTTGGCTACCAGCAACTCGCTCTCCAGCTTTTCTATGGCCAACACCACTGTGCCCTCTGCGAACTCGTTGTTGGCCACCAGACAGTTAGTCAGCTTTACGGCCAATTCATCGCGGGTTATTGCCTCCGGATCCGCCTTGCTGGGATTAAAGTCGATAGGAAAGTAGCATGCAAAGATCTCGAACATCTCTTCGGACAAATGCAGCAGCGGATACGTGGATAAGAACTCGGGCATGAAGGTGAAAATGATGTCAAGGTTGCGGGGGTCACGCTCGCCGTCGATAGAATTGATCAGGCCGTAGACAAAATCACCGGCCATCGTCTGGAGCTCTATAAAGAATAATAAATGGTTTTTTAATCCATTAATTCTGAAATCTTAAACCTAAACTTAAACTTAGATCCATTTGATTAATTTGTTGCCTGATTTTTTGATAAAAACCTCAAAACTATCAAATATGTGACGGCAAATTATGGTAAGATCACCCAAGTCTGTAGGAAACAGACAAAAATAATTTCCCGAAGTAACCGATGCTCACCCTCTTTAAAGTTGATCGTCAGGTACTGGAAGATGTGGAACAGCTTGGTGCGGTCGCCCCGCGTCTGCGACTGGCAGGTTGTGTACTCGAAGAAGGACTGCAGGATCTGGGGAACCAGGGGGCGCGGCAGAGCTTTCATGTGGACCATGGCGTCAATGCCGTCGATGATGGCCGGCATTACATTGTGATGGTCGCGCAGTCGATCCATGTAGAAGGTGCTGAGGAACTCCAGCTGGCGCTCGTCGAGCAGATCCTGAGGCAGGGCGACCAGCACGGCGGACAGCAGGTTGGTTCCGGCCACCCGCTCCTCCGTGTCCGGTGAGGATAGGGCGAAGCCCAGTTCCTCGGCCAAGGCGGATATGTCATACGTCTTGGAGGACAAATCTGGAGAAAACAAAGGAAATCTCAGTGAGAATGTTCGATCTGTTGGCGATGCGGGTGGGAACCTGCCCTTGGCTATCTGGGTTGCGGCCTTCAGCAGCTTCTGGTCGCTCTTAAGAGCCTTCTCCAGGGTGGCGCGCGTGGGCGTTGTCATTTCGGGCGCCGTCGCTTGCGTGGTTTCTAAATTTAATATGTGTTTAAGCACGTTAAGCCGAAATGTTAAGAACCGATAACCGATGACTCGGCGTACTAGCCTTATCTATAGCTCAGCGTTGCCAGACTTGTTACTTGTGCAGATGTCGCTTAGGCCTTAGCGGTAAATATAGCTATAAGTTGGAGATACCAAAGCCCTAAGCGTTGGAGTGTACCTAAATATAATCCTTGATTTTATTAACTGGAAATTTGGAAAACATTTATTTGTATTTATGTATTTTACAATTAATTTCATATTTCGGTAATTTTAAAGAATTAGTGGTAAGCAAGCCTAGGTGAAAAGAATAATTATTTGATATGATGTTCATTTGTGTTTTAAAAGTAAAAGGCCTTTAATTTAATGTTCGGATAAGTGATTTATTTGAAAATAACATATGAAAATATCATCTCGGACTTACTTTTTACTATCACTGTACAAACTTACTTCCAAAGAAAGGCCAAAAACGACAAGTACAGAATAGATGACTTCTGTACTTGTCGTTTTTGACCTTTCTTTATAATAATAATAATAATTATTATTATTTATAATTAATAAGCGATTTGTAGCGACACTTTTTCGTCTTCTTTATAACACATGTACTACCTATGGAAAAAAAGTCGCTGTTGCATAAGACGTCTGTCTGTACTTTCGGGAACACCCTATCTATTTAAACGTATTCGATATTATCGGGGGTGAGTTTCAAACATTTACACATCTCTAAAGGCAATTTTGGAAATACGCAAGCTGCTTCTAAAACAATTTGTTTGTTTGTACAATTGACGAGGTACAACCGTAAGAAAGGAGCTTTAACTTATAGTAGACACCGGTAGTAATATTATACACTTTCAGAACAACGAGTTTCGTATGTTTGGGAACCAGCGTAAACGTGGAATTTTAAGAGATGAAAATGAGAGGACGTAAAGATTCCACGGTGAATTCTGTACGCACCGACAAGAATATCAAGAAAGAGGAAGCATTTCCCGTGGCGCTTTTCACTTGCACTCTAAATAGGAGCCATACACACTCCCACATACAAAGCTCACTTCAAGATAGCTTACTTGAGAATGAATTTGAAAAGGCATCGGACTGTAGGAGTAACGTTTCCAACGCTAAAAAAACTCAACGAACTGGTGGACAAACAGTCCGCCAAGTCAGGAAAGGAAACCTAAATTGTTTGAAAGGAAGCATAAAATCGCACGGAGACCAAGGCCAAGTTAAGGACGAATCACCTGAAGAAGAGCTGACCTCTTTTAGAGACAACGTTCAAGCACAGATCAATGTGCCGGATAGTGGATTACGAGATGATGATTGTGGTGTGGACCTCAACCATGGGCCTGCTACTTATAATAATATTACGGTGAATAGAATTAAAAAGCATACTGAAACCTTTTCAAAAGGACCATGTCATCAGCGTAATTTGCGAGACCACACAAAAGGTCAACTGTTAAAATGCACCTCTTGCGGTCTGTCTTTTGTACGGAAATCGATACTTAAGACACACCAGCGATCCCATACGGAAGAGGAACCGTTCAAGTGTTCCCACTGCTCAAGGAAAATTTCACTGCATTCACATTTTGAAAGACACTTGAGAACTCTTAGAAAACAATGCCAATTGAATGACAACCCACTTGAAGAAGAAAGTTTGAAGTTTGCCGAAGAAATACTGACTTTGTTAAACGGCAACGATCATGAAGGGATCGAGGTGATGGCTAATGATTTACAAGTGGATGGTGACTATGGCGCTGGCTTCCATCAACGAACTGGTGGACAAACTGTCCGCCAAGTCAAGAAAGGAAAACTAAATTGTTTGAAAGGAAACTTGGAATCGAACGGAGGCCAAGGCGAAGTTAAGGACGAGCCACCTGAAGAATGTGTGTTTGACGAGGAAGTACTGACCTCGATCGATGTGCCGGATAATGATTTACGAGAAGATGATTGTGGTGTCGACCAGTACCAAGAGCCTGCTACTTTTAAAAGTAAGGGAAAAAGAGTCAAAAAGCGTCACAGTTGCAATTATTGTCCTAAACATTTTTCAAAGAAGTCAAGTCTTCAGCGCCACTTGGGAACGCACACAGGGGATAATCCGTTCAAATGTACTTATTGCGTAGAGTCTTTTTTTCATAAATCAATACTTGAAACACACCTGCGATCGCATACAGGAGAAAAACCGTTCAAGTGTACCCACTGCTCAAAGGCTTTTACACAAAACTCACATCTTCAGAGGCACATGAGAACAGTCCTGCAATCGCAAACAGGAGAAAGACCGTTCAAGTGTACCCACTGCTCAAAGACTTTTACACAAAACGGACATCTTCAGAGGCACATGAGAACAGTCCTGCAACCGCATAAAGGAGAAAGACCGTTCAAGTGTACCCACTGTTCAAAGACTTTCACACAAAACTCACATCTTCAGAGGCACATGAGAACAGTCCTGCAACCACATAAAGGAGAAAGACCGTTCAAGTGTACCCACTGCACAAAGACTTTTACACAAAACTTACATCTTCAGAGGCACATGATAACAGTCCGAAACAAAAGTTTAGAATGACACTCTAATATCTTTCTATATACATAATTAAACTCGTCAAATACCAGAAAATTTCAACAAAAGAGGGAATGTTTCAAGCAGCTGTGATTAACTGTAAACATTTCAGAACCAAAAACAAATATAATTTCATTTTTCCTTGTTAATGGTTTTATAATTATTAATAAGGTAAACATAACTATATATACTATTTTTATTCTGGTTTATAATGAGTACTGGTAATACTTGAATTATACAGAGCCTAAAATTGGTTGTCCCGTTTTCAACTATTGTTGTTGCTGAAATTTTTGAAAACCGAATTCGTACGCAACGCCTACCCAAAATTTTACAGTTTGGGAATATTCGAATAATTTATTTCATACTCAGCAGCCCTGAAAAGTATCGATAGCCGCCGACTGTTGCACGCCCCAAACGCAACAGGGTGGCCAAGTGGCCGGGCCGATATATCGATGACCCGCCCATCACCAGCCCACGCACATCACTAGTATTACAAACACAGCAGCGCAGCAGTTTATTTTAGCTACCGCAGCGCCTTTAAATATAAACTAAATAAGTTTCGCATTATTTTTGCGCTTGGAACGCCGCGTAACAAAGCTAGTACACTAATGTCCATAACCGTAAGTCGCCCGCCGAGCGGTTCGCACAGTTGTTGCTGTTCTGGCTGCGGCTGCGAGACGTCACCGTTGTTGTTGCTGCAGCTGCAGACGCCCCCACGTAGCTGGAAATAAAAAAAGAAACGAAAATGTGGTCGAGTGCCGAATGCAAGTGCAGTCCGCATCTCCAAAGGCTTGCAATTAACTCGAAGTCTATTTAAATCGCATTAATTCGCCCCATTGTGCGCCCGTGTGTCTGTGTGCGTGCGTGCCGCTGAAACCTGAGCTCTGTGTGCGTGTGTGCGAGCGTTAACTTTGTTGTTGTTTTATTTATTTTGTGTTTTTTTTGCATACGACGATTCGAGTTGAAAGAATTATTCAAAGCCAACAAGGTCAGGCTCCTTATTTGGCTCAAAATAATTTAATACATTTTCCAATCGGCATTTTGGCCCACGTCCCGCCTTGGAAGCGGAATTGAAAATGGGAGCGCATTGCGTTTAAATTTGGTGGCTGCTCGGCGGCTGTGCGCCTTATAATTTATAATTAGCAACGCACTTGGGTCGTTGCCACTGGTATCTCCTATTATTTGCAATTGTCGCCTGACTTGCCCACTGGGGGCTTTTCGTTCTCGGGGCTCACTTTCCTTTTCCCACCTGCAAGGCGAGCGAGTGACGAATTCGCTTCCGTTCTATTGTTCCCCCTCCCACCTGAAACACCCGAAACACTCGGAGAAACTCACGCACTCGAGCGCTTTAAGTGGAACTAATCTCTGTCTCTCGTTTTTGGCCACAATGACGACAACCTGTTCCGATCTTCCGATTCTGACCGCCAGTTACTGCGAGGTGGCAAGCAAAAGACAACCACTTGCGTAGGAATGACCGTAATGGCCAAGACTACGATCGAAGAAATATGCGAGAATGCCAAATTAGCGCGGGACATGGCTCTGACGGGCAACTACGACTCGGCCTGCATCTACTACGAGGGCCTCCAGGGGCTGCTCGCCCGCCAGCTCAAGGCCACTGCGGATCCGCTGCGCAAGGGCAAGTGGAGCATGGTAAGATGAACTCCATCAGCATCCTTTTGAATACCTGCCACTTTAGAGAGTGGGAAATTTGTCATGAGGACGGACAATAGCACTTAGTCACTCCATATGGTCAAAGCTATAAGTAATCGACTCGATTCTTCATAAACGATGGTATAATTGTATACCCCATGAAACATTGTATAATCAATTTGTTAAGATAAGTGGGTATAACCGAAATTCAAGTAGTCAAAATAAAAAACGTACTAAGATAATCTCTTTATCACCAAATTCTAGCGAGACGTGCTTACATAGATCTTAAATAAGAAAGCAGGCACATAATCTTTTAATGAACAGGCTTAGATGTCATTATCTCGAAGCTTTCTAATTTGAAGTCTCTATTAACATAATAATAAAGAACGCTTCAGTGAAATTTTTCAACTTTAATAGATACCCGGTATGCGTAACTTGTCTTAAAAATTGTCAGACTCTAAACAGTCTTGCAAGAAAAGTTTGTCAAAACTGCAAGACGGTTATCGTTAATTTACATACTCACTTTTTTGTAATCTCTACATATTTAATTTGCATTTTTTTAATTTAAATTAATAAGTACCAACCAGTTAGTGTACATAAAGTATATTATCACTCCCACATTTTACTTACTTGTTATCAATTCACAGATCAACCAGCAGATAAGTCAGGAGCACGCGAAGATCAAGGCCATCCAGCGAACACTACAAGACATCTCGCTGGACCTGCAGAGCACCAAATTCGCCCACAAGCTTCGCCACCAGCTCAGCGAAGAGAGCACCAGCAGCAAAGACCCATCCGCCTGGTTTAAGCCGGACCCCGACATTTGGACGCCCCCGCCAAAGGATCCCGATGTGTGGGGTCCTCCGAAACCACCACCCACCACACAGGCCGTGGGCCGACGCGCCGCACCGAACAACCGCCGCACTGCTCCGGCCTCTCAGAACAGCCGCCCCAGCAGCACAATCCCACAGAGCACTGCCCGGAACGGTCCTGCCTCGACACGCAACTCCCGAAACTCGACGTCGGCCGCAGCACCGAACAGTGGAGCACGCATGACCAACGGACGGGCTGGCGGACGAAAGCTGTCCACGTCGAACAACAACGAGGCTAGGGACGACGACTCCACCGCTGCAGGCAGCAATGGTGGAGGAGCTGGTGGCGAGGGAGAGAGTGGCGACCAGCAGGCCGCCCAGGAGGAGGAACGCAAGTTCCAGCCCAACAATCACATAGAAGCAGAGCTAGTCGACATTCTTGGTAAGTTCATGAAGCTTGTTCTACCCTATGAAGTATATAGATTCTTGATTTGGAAAGGAAAGTCTTTTGTGAATAAAGTTCTATTTCTAAAGATAAATTGAACTAAATTAAATTAATCAAAAATGCGCGGCTAAAAACTGGTAGAACGTTTAACCGTGAATTAAGATGTCCATTCTCACACAATAATAATGAGAGACCCCAATTCAGATAACCAACTCTCTCTTTCCAGAACGTGATATTCTTCAAAAGGATCCTAAAGTGCGCTGGAGCGACATTGCCGACCTACACGACGCCAAGCGGCTGCTGGAGGAGGCCGTCGTGCTGCCCATGCTCATGCCGGACTACTTCAAGGTGCGTCACCCCCGTTGTTTGTTTGCTCTGAATCACATTTTGCCGAAGGCTTATCTACGGCCGGTGTTGGGTCAACAAACGCGCTTTATTTCAGTGCTGCGTTTGCTGGGCTCAGGGCCCCGTATATTTGATCAACTGTTGCCACGAAATGCAGCGTCTCACAGCTCTATCACTCTTAACTAGGTGCTAATTTTATATCACTGTCAGTTTGCAAGGCTTTTGTCAATCTATACAGACTGCAGGGCCTGAAAGTTTTCATTGTTAAAATTAAGTTGATTATGAATTATTTTGTACGTTTGTTATCTTATTCGCATATGTGTGAGGTCAAATTTGTATCAATCCATAATGGGACTGTCAAACAAACATGTTTATATTATCAATGCCGAGATGAATAACCATTTTGGACTTAGAAATACAAAAAATACTTTCTTGGGATCAGAAACACATATAGTATAAAGTTATTCGACTTTAAAAAGTAATTATTTTTGGTTTGTTATACTGAATTAGAGAGACAACTTATGAATCGATATAGGCAAGTGAATTGTTTCGACAAATTGCATACATTCATGTATATGTACATATATACATATATTTATATTCTGGGTTATCCGAATCTTTATTAAAATCGAATGTTTTGTATTACCACAAAGCTCCAAAATAGCCATGTTCAATATTATTATAATAGGCTAATGTCTTAGCCTACGATTTTTTTATTTTACCCAAAATCATTTCTTTACCAGCAGAAGTGTGCATAGGTACCAACCATTTCGCGTTTTGCGGGGGCGTAAGGTGACGCGGCCAAACAAACAACCAGATCTAGTTAGCCATCACTGAAGTCTAAATAATGGGTTGTTTTCTGTTAACCATCTTATGGAATACAAGCAAATGTCGTCAAAAACGCTCGCAGTTTATAAAATATATGATATTCAACAGGCAAGAAAGTTTTAAAGTTATTGGTTAAAATAATATAGTCCAGTAAAAAAATCGCCTGGTTGAGTGGTGCTGATCAAGATAATATATACATATTGCTTTGCAAGATTTTGTCTCACATTTAAATACCCAAAAATGTATCAAACAAAATTAAAATGATTTATTAATCAATATTGTATCTATTTTTCTACAACCAGGGTATCCGGCGACCCTGGAAGGGTGTGCTAATGGTGGGACCTCCCGGCACAGGCAAGACAATGCTCGCCAAAGCGGTGGCAACCGAATGCGGAACCACATTCTTCAACGTGAGCTCGGCCACGCTCACTTCCAAGTACCGCGGCGAGTCGGAGAAGATGGTGCGCCTGTTGTTTGAGATGGCGCGATTCTATGCGCCCAGCACAATCTTCATCGACGAGATCGACTCCCTGTGCTCGCGGAGAGGGTCGGAATCGGAGCACGAGGCCTCGCGACGCGTCAAGTCGGAGCTGCTGGTCCAAATGGACGGCGTGGGTGGAGGAGAGGAACAGGCCAAGGTAGTGATGGTGCTGGCCGCTACAAACTTTCCCTGGGATATCGATGAGGCGTTGCGGCGCCGGTTGGAGAAGCGCATTTACATCCCACTGCCATCGGACGAAGGCCGCGAGGCGCTGCTAAAGATCAATCTGCGCGAGGTCAAGGTTGATGATAGTGTCGATCTGACCTACGTAGCCAACGAGCTAAAGGGGTACTCCGGAGCCGACATCACAAACGTGTGCAGGTGGGTTAATTCATATTTTTCTATTAAAAAATACTCACCCTTCTTCGGGTTTCCAGGGAGGCCAGTATGATGTCGATGCGTCGTAAGATCGCCGGCCTTACACCAGAGCAAATTCGACAGTTGGCAACTGAGGAGGTGGACCTGCCCGTGTCGAACAAGGACTTCAACGAGGCCATGAGTCGCTGCAACAAGAGCGTGTCCCGCGCGGACCTGGACAAGTACGAGAAGTGGATGAAGGAGTTCGGATCGTCATGATGGCGTTGCCCACGGGAATGGCTAGCAATTGTAGGAATATATTTTTGAATAGCCTTAAATACGCGCTTAAGTCATTAAGCTTTTAAAGTGAAAACCGAACCGATCCAAGCCGAACGGAAGAGTTGAACATATTTTATATATAACATTTTGCATAAAACGATACAATCTATATATTTACATATATACATTGAACCAGAGGCCGTTGGAATTATAAAAGACTAACCGTTCTCAAAGAGGAAACACAAATGCAACACTGAAATTGAATCGAAGTCGAGAGATAGGCAATATGTTTATATATACATAACAAACACCCACACACTCCATGAAGCACAATCCTTCCAACTAATCGTTAACCCACAATCACAATCTATATGCAGTAAGAAATCGCTTTAATCGCCGCCTAGCCTTGGCCCCATACTCCCATAATATGCACACTCCAAACCGTTTCATTTTTATTCAAAAGTTTATTTTTAACAAGAAATGTTCACTGTCTAATATTAATGTTAATTTTCGCTTAATTTATACATATACATATATCATAGTTTAGTGCAGGCAGAGATGTAGAGCACCTCAAATGTTAGTTTTAAAACAGGCAGAACGTTCCCTCTGATTTGCAATTAACCCACTGTAATCAGAAGAAGAAACTGAAGCAATATGTACTTAAAGTGAGGATTCTGAAATTTTAAACAATAAACACAGTTTTTAACTATAAGATATGTTTGGTGAGTTATTTGGGTGCTTTCCGCAAAGAATGTACAATAAAATTAGGCAAGCTTAAGGTACTTCAATATAGTAAGTAATGGTTGCAAAATCTTCCCGATGTTGTTGGCAAATGGATGAATCATGCACTTTCTATACATACATCAGCCATTTTCGTTTCATGGAATTTACGTTAATTAAATAGTTATAGGGCTCAAAGCCTCAGTAAATGTACTTAAAGGTCAACTTATCAGGAAATAGATCCTGTCGGAAATTCCAACTATATAATCCAGCCACTTATTTTATCTTGTATGGCAATGACGAAAGAACAACATTGGAATTAAATTATCCGTAAAGGGTAAAACTTGGGCGAGCTTGATAAGGCCAAGCACATTTCTTTGTTAAAAGCACCCTATTGTTCATCGCACTACATATATAAATATAAACTCGCCTGCTGCAGCTTGATGCGCCATGGCAGTTCGTGCTCTCGAACACGGGCCGAGATCTCAGTAGGGTCTTGACGGCGGTGGCATGGGCATAAGGGAACCCATAATGGGGTAAGGAGCTGACCCGCCGGCCGAGGGATAAAATCCGCTGGAGGGTACGTTTCCGTAGGCTGGATGAGAGGCGTTTGGCGGGCCCTGGCGTTGTTTCCTCATGAGGTCCTGCATCTTCTCGGCCTTGAGGCGACGTAGATGCATTGTCCGCCGACTGGCGAGGAACTCCTCCAGAAAGGACTCCACCCCGAGATCGCTGTCGTTGAACTTCTTGACCATCTCCTCGGTCTGCTCCTCGCTTTCGGAGGCGGCGGTCTGCAGCAGGGCCAGTGCCGTTTCCGGGCCCACACCACCGGATTTCTCCTTAAGCTCGGCCAGCTTTTCCTGGACAGACGAACACCGGGTGCGTCCCTCCTCCAAGAGCTCCGCAAGACGACCACGCAGCTCGATGATTTGAGGCTCCCGCTCAATGTTGCGCTCCGCTCGACTCCGGTTGTCCTCGAAAACGCTGGTCTTTTGAGTTCGCAGCACCTGAAGAACTTCGTCGACTTTCTCGTCTAGCTTGTCGTCGTTATTCAGCAGCTCCTTCAGCTCCTCGGAGCCCATCGGCGCGATGGAGGCTTGCAATTGGTTAAGGTATTCCTGGTACATCTTCTCCGTCTCCCTTATTCACTATCCAACTGTTTTAATTTTGCGACTTTAATTTCAATGACTATTACTTAGTAGAGCTGGGCTAAGCACTCACGGTGATATCGATGTATCGAATATTTAATTTGCGAAACTTTATCGAGAATTTAGTTTTGACACTGCACGATAGAGCTAATAGCCTGTTCAGACAAAGGCTGTTCCTGCAGCATGGACCAAATTTCGCAACAGCGACTTTGCTTCAACATTATAAGAATATATTATAAGTCGCTCTCTAGAACAAGTAGATTTTGTCTTTCATTTGTGATAGTAATTTGTACCCCTGCATTCATTCGTAATTCATCAAAAGTTCATAAAAAAATTCGTTTGCGTTGAAGATTAATGCATGTGTTTTCATACAAACTACTGATGAAGTTATAATGGCGTTACCATTTATAACTTATATGCTTGCCTTGCCATCAAATAAGCAATTAGCGAAATACATATGTACAATGTACATACTATGTACTTATAAGCTGTTTTGATGTATTCAAAAAAAGTTGCTGCAAGCGTCCCTTCCATTTCAATGCAAAAACCGTATTCTTTTGGGAATGGAAACAGAAAGAAAAACCAGGACTTTTCTGAGCGTTACCAACATGCAGATGGGTAATAGCCTATAACAGGAGCCCATACTCAAAAAACTGCATACAAAATATTTACGAACTTCGAATTAAATTTGATAAAAATCACGGTTTTTTAATAAAGCAAGTAAAAATTCCTTTGTTAACCAACGTTAATACTTTCTCTGACCACGAGGTTTTTGTTAGTAAAATAATTCTGAGTTCACTCAATTTCATTTGACTCGACCAAAACTAATTGAAATAGGTAGAACTTCACGAAAACCTAAGAATAATCTGAGGCACAGGCACAGGCGAGATACAAAGTTTGTACGGAAAAGTGGACAATTTCTAGGTCCTTAGGAAAACTGACTGACAAACGCAGACTTGACGAATACAAACCAGTAATCAATGGAGAAACTTTTGGTACTGGTTAGATTATTAGATTAGGGACGATGGCTGCAGTTCAAAGAAGATGACCTCTAAACAAAAACCCAAACCCACACCGAGAATCAACAACACTGGCTACCCATTTTATTGCCGGTATCCTGGACCCGCTGGTAATTATTAAGGGATTTTGTAAAATATATTTTCGAACATGGCTAGATCGACTCGTCTAGTGATGCGGATCAAGAATATATATACTTTATGGGGTCGGAAACGTCTCCTTCACTGTTTGCAAACTTTTGACTGAAATCATAATACCCTCTGCAAGGGTATAAACATATCATATCATATCAACATAACTTGTTTTATTTATTTGTATTCAAATTTTAAATTGTTACAAAGTCTACTTGCCATTAAGCATTATGAACCAATAAGAGCTTTTCTACCCTCGTATTGTTATTGCTTGAACTTAAATTGATATCGCCCAACGATAGCTGTTAAAAGCAGAAACTTAGTATACAAAAAACAATTAAAAAATAAAAAAAACAATGTCCTTAAATTAAAAACGTTTGGTCATAGAAATGAATGAACACCAAATATTACATTTTTATAAATGAAGAACAATTGGTATTGATTTTTTTTATTTTAAGAATTTTTAATGAGGCTTAAAATAAGAAAAAATAACAAAAATAAATTTTGTCAAATATTTTAAATTTTGTTTCGTTTTGTGGGCTTGATCTCCGGTCTGCGCTCTTCTAGAGAAATTTTTTAAAATCGAATTCCCAACCCCCCTACCTGCTAGGCCACACTGCATTCCGAAATTGAATTTAAGTTGAGAACAACCTTTTCATAATTTAAGAACGCTTTTTATACGACTATATCAAATATCTGCCATAGGAACAATCGGATAAATAATTGAAAAATAATAGGAAAATAAATATAGTTTACATTGGATCACATTCTCTTCTACTCCGGTATATAGCCTTTATTCATTTCAGAAGTTCGAAACAGAATTTGATAAAAATAGGACTACTATGTATTTATATCATATCGCAAAATTATTGTCAAAAAATAAAAAAATCGTTATATTTCGTTTTCTGTAAAACATATACGCTGCTAAATTGAAATGTAACATTATCTTAATATTTCTGTGAATATTTTTGTTACTTTCTAAAAGTCGGATAGCTCTGAATATACATTGCTCCAACAGGAACGACATGCCAGGTCGCAGTAATTTTTGGCTTGCCGAGGCTAGCTTCCTTTTTTGTTGTTTTTCTTTTAAGAACACAATGTAATAACAAAACGTTATTACTTTAAGAATATTGTTCTTAAATTTAAACTAAGTTTTATCCCTCAGTTTATAATGAATGACATCTTTTTGTGAATGCGAATTTAAAGATACGAACAAACTTAAAAGCTTAAATGTTTTATTAAAGCTATAATAGTGATAAGCTTTTATTTACAAGTTTGGGAGACTGGTTTGGGGAGCGGCACCACTTATTAAAGGTTTGGCAAGCGTGGTAAATCGTCTACTGAACTGATCCTTTAGCACCTCTGGGGTAACTGTAGAAGCCGCGTCGAGATACTGCACCACTCTAATTTGGCCGTTATCAAGCACGGGAACCTGGCGATGTCGAAGCCCCGGCACGAGAATTTGGCAGTGAACCATGGTCAGCCCCAGGAGTCCAACCAGTATTGGCAAATACAGCTTCATATTTCAGTTGGTGCAGATGAATACTTGCGAATGAGTTGTACCTCAACATTTTATACTTATCCAGGTAATACAGGAAGTCTAAAAACCGGGGTGATTGATCTGCCTCAGAGAGTGAACTCCAATTGCTTCACCGCAAAAGCTCAGTTTCATTCAACCAGTCCCGCAGCATTAATATTTCAAGCAACTGGATTTGTTATTTTATAAAAGCACTCACATTCAGAAATTTGGAAATGTTGGATTTTTTTATTCACGAATTGATTAAAAATCTTACAAATCATTTTACAATAAATCAATCAATTTTATTAATTTAATGTTTGAAATTTGGTCATTTTTTTATCAGTTGCTCCTGATCATGGTACAACTATACGGCCAGCAAAATTGTACAGCACGTCAACAGACTAAAAGCCGAACGATTAGGCAACCGACGAGACTTACTTTTTTATTCGGTGTAAATGTTTTCCTTCTTTGTCAATATCTATCGACGTGCTAAAAGTTGATTAACTCGAACCATTAGTTATTCATTTTATTTTTGATTTTTCTACTATTACTGCCCCCGTAGCTAGCCCCATGAGAATTTTTGCGAGACTTAGTCGGCGATACCACAGTGGCTTGCAGCTTAATTCATCACTGATGTTATACCACCGCACTATGGGGCGACTAAAACAAAACCCTGCCAAATGGATTTTTAAAAGATTTTCCTATTTTTTGAACTGCAACTTTGAAAACCACTGAATTCTGCATACAAATGAAAAAGAAAAAGTAGTCGGTAGTGATATGTTCTCCCACCACAAATTTTCTAGTTGACGTATTAAAATAAAATGACTAATCATAATGCAAAAAGTCATGCATGATTAGTAAAAAAGGAGCACAAAAATAGTACGCTAACAATTCTTGATACATGATACATTGCTTTTGGCTTATATGTATGAGTTTAAATATCGATAATAATCAACAGTTGCGTTGGTAGCCGATATTTTTTACAAACGTAATTTTAATAAAAAAAAACGTTGGTTTATAAAGTAATTGTGAAAAACTTACGCTAGGATCAACATATAAAACATTTGAATTTCATAGTGAAGCTTTTTGTTTCATAAGTATTCAGTAGAACAAACTTGATTACTGGTAACTATCCATCAGTAATCAGTTATCATGTTGTTCTGCTGAAAGCGGCGTATATGTTTTAGAAACAGAATTGTTGGTGCATTTTCTTACTCGCCGAGAGCTGTTTCAGCACTTAGAAAAGTATTATCCCACATTTTAAAGGTTTATTTCAAAATTTTAAACTTTAATCTTTTGGACTAGAGCACATTGAGTGGAAATCCTATTTGTCAAAGCGAATCAGGCATGTCTAGATATATTCACACCATTTGCTTGCGATGTCAGACGACTCTAAATCGAGAAATCGTTTGAAGAATACGCCAACAGAAACATGTTTCTAAAAACCAGAACATGAGATATATAGATACCTAAAAAAAATTCTACTTCTTGTACTAAGTCTCTATTTTTACGCAATATTTTGTTAAAAATATGCAGTTTAATTAAATATTATACATTACACAAAACCAAAATGCTTAACTTAAAGTCAAATTGATAAGTACCAACATTATACAGAATTATATGAAACAATATTTTAAAATATCCGAGATATTATAATACATATACTTTTTACATAATATTTTTTTTCAGTTTTCCCTTTTCTGCCTTTAACGATACCGAATCAAAAGTTGGTCACCATAGGGCTCCACTGATTTGGGCAGGCTTTTGGGTTTTTCGGACCCACTCTGCATAAGCAGTTTCTAAGAATATTAAACGTATTTTTAAACTAATCTTTAAACTTTAAATAAGAACAAACCCATTTTTTAAATTGCTCAAATAAAAAGAAATTACCCGAAATTACTCGAGCTGCTACCCAGGGTTCAGGCTAGACATAAATATTCCAGCCGCTACATAGATTTCAACGAGGAAATTTTCAGATTTAGGATATTAAGATAAGAATAGAGCAAAAATAAATATGGCTACAAAAATATTTTTAGAGAAAGATTATGTAGTACATATTTTGAAAATCAAAAGTTTGGTTTTAATGTAGTTTTGGGTAAAGTCCGCAGTAGATCTTGACATTTTTGTACTAAGGTCTTCTTCAAACCTTAAAGCTTTAAAGGATTGTTAAATTTCGCTACTCTCGATTACATTTTTTTTAAATTATTCTGAGATTTGACCAAAGAGTTCGTATCACTTTTAACAGGAAATGACCCCAATATTGTTATGTTTACTTAAATAAAAGCAAGACAGAAATGGCCGAACCTGTCACATACTAAGAATGAAGAAATGCAGTAGACGTATCTTAGAGTAAGATTCTATGGATGCATACTTTAATCACACTGGCATTTGCGCTAGAGCTGGAAAAAATACGTGTTTGCGGACACCTACATATGTATGTATGTTCTCAGTTGTTTGGCGGACAACATCTGGGGTATTCCCTGATTTACCAAAAACCAGAGTTGTATTTTTATTTCTTTAAAAAGCAAATGTAGAAGTATATTTTTAGTTTTTACCTTATTAATAAATTAACAAATTAACCCTTAATATGAAAAATTAAAATATTAGATGTTTTTACTACCAAAAAAGTAGACAACTAATCAAAGCTTTTTGAAAATTGAACAGGAAGCGTTTGGGGTCTTTCCCTAGAGTTTTCAATAAGTAAGTAATTAAACAGTTTAGAGAATACCCAAAAAATTCCAATTTAAAATTAAACATGTATGCAGATGTTAATATAAGAATGTCATAACTTTGTACTCATCAGCTATCTGTCCATGCTTTCAGCCACTTTAGCCAATACCATTAAGAGATAACTATGTACATTTTTAATATAATAGTAATAATTGATAGTCGCCATGGCACATCGATTTCCAAAATTTGTAAATATCGAGTCATCGATGTTCCCACCTCTAATCTAAGCTTCGACTTTGGCCGGTTGCGTTTTCTATATATATAGAACAAATACGTCGATTAACAGCTCAGCAGAGGAAATTGATAGCCAGCGATAAAGACAACCAAGTTTATCTCTCCCTTATATAGTTCACTGTACATAAAAACCCTTCTGGAATCCCAGAAGGCAATATTATCTGATAACCAATCTTTGGAAAAAACATATGGTGAAATGTCTGCGGACCGACTGGATGTCATTATCTTTGGGGCCAGTGGCTTCACCGGCAAGTACACGGTTTTCGAGGCGGTCAGCGTGCTCAGCGGTCTGCGATGGGGAATCGCGGGCAGGAACCGCGAGAAACTGGAGGCGGTGCTGAAGGAAATGGGCGCCAAGGCCAAAAAGGACCTCTCGCAGGTTCCCATTTTCATCGCGGACGTCAACGACGAGGCTTCCCTGCTGGAAATGGCCAAGAAGTGCAGGATTGTGGTGAACACTGCTGGACCCTATCGGTTCCACGGCGAGAAGGTCGTGAAGGCTTGCATAGAATCGGGCACTAACCATGTGGATGTCAGCGGAGAGCCCCAATACATGGAGACAATGCAGCTGAAGTACGACCAGCGCGCCAAGGAAAAGGGCGTGTACGTGGTCAGCGCGTGTGGCTTCGACTCGATTCCTGCCGACATGGGAGTCATCTTTGTGGAAAAGAACTTTGACGGTGTCGTGAACTCAGTGGAGACCTTCCTGGAGAGTGGGATCAAGGAGGGCGGAAGCGGTGGAGGCAGTGCTGGCCTTAACTACGGAACCTGGGAGAGTGCCGTCTATGGGCTGGCCCACTCGGACGAGCTGCGCGGCATCCGGCAGCAGCTCTTCCCTCAGAGACTACCCAAGTTTTATCCCGTCCTCCGGCCAAGACCCTTGGTCTTCCGCGCCAACGAGGTGGACAAAGTGTGCCTGCCCTTCCCCGGCTCCGATCGCTCGGTGGTGATGAGATCCCAGCGGTTTCTCTACGAGCAGGACAAGAAGAGACCCGTGCAGATGCAGGCTTACGTGGGATTCCCATCTTGGCTGGCTGCCGGCGCAGTGATCCTTTTCGCCAGCATCTTCGGTCTGCTTTCTAAGTTTCAGCTGGGCCGCACGCTGCTCCTTAAGTACCCCGGCTTATTTTCCGGAGGATTGGCTTCGCGTTCCGGACCAAGTGAGGAGTCAATGGAACGCACCTATTTCAGGATGACTTTCAAGGCCACCGGCTGGCCCAAAAGCGATCGCCTGGCCGAAAGTTCAGACCAGTATACGGAGCCTCCCACCAAGACGTTAATGGTGCGTGTTTCGGGTATGAACCCTGGATATGGAGCCACCTGCGTGGCCTTGCTGTCCACGGCGTTGACCATTCTTCGCGAGTCCGAAAAGATGCCCAACAACGGCGGAGTTCTAGCGCCAGCTGCCGCTTTTTCCAAAACCAGCCTCATAAGCGAGTTGGAGAAACACGATCACGGCATCAAGTTCGAAATTCTGGCCAATAAGTGAACTGCAGACCGAACCGAACAAAACGGCTCTCTATTAACCGCTAGCTGAGTTTTTTGCACTGTTTTAAAAATAACTTATATAAGCACTCATTAAATGTACTAACCCAGCCGATAACCAATATTTGCTGATTTCAAAGTCCAAGACCTATCAATACACCTAGCATCGGACGGGAGAAACAGGTTATGGTAATTTTGTTTGGAAAATTGTATCTTATACGAAACGGTAAAATAACAACAAAGGCGACGGCATGGAAGACGGGGGAAAAAGATGTCTGACCCTATAGATCAAAATACAATCTGGATTATCATCACTAGTTGCGACTTGCATATTGGTACGTCCGCCTGTTCCCAAGCTCTTTATTAGCTCAGTTGAAAAGCTAGAGTTCAAGTGTGATACTATTGTAATATTTCAGGAGGATAAATTCTGTTGAAGCCGGTTGTTTGCCAAATGACTCGCATATTGGTATCTCCGACTGTCCCCAAGCTCTCTATTAGCTCAGTTGAAAAGCTAGCGATGAAGTGTGATACAATTGTAATATTTTATGAGGACAAATTCTGCTTAAGCCAGCTGTTTGCTAAATGATAATAAAATTCATATAGTAGGTTAAATGTTTTAATAGTAAATGATAATGTTTAAATAAAGCATTTTCTAACATCAGCTAAAAACTATTTCATGTACTCCAATCATTTCTTTTTTTATGGACTAAACCGTTTACGTCCAGGAAGAACTTAAATTTTGGCTAACCAATATATTGCAACAGTAAAATGCTCTGCATCACTTGATAAGTAGGTTAAAGGTTTGGTTGGGGGCATATATCTGGAGAGGGTTTGCGGCGTAGATGGTTACCGGTAGGTTCCACACCATCGTCTCCACGGGCAACTCGGATGGTGCTTTCAACTCGCCAAACTCAGGATTCGGGATGCCAAAATCCATCAACGTGGTGGTTACAAATTCAAAATGCAATCGCCAACGGACGTCGACGAGATCCGTGCGGAATGTAGGTGTTACATGCAGCGGAATCGGCACTACTACCTGGGTTTGCAGTGTAGCATAGCATACTTGGTGAGAGGTGGAAATTGTAGTCAGTTTCCCAGTTGGCTCAGGGACATCCTTATCCCGTGAGCTTCCCGATGTGGCCGATTTATGGAGGCTATCAGCAACCACTCCGCTGGCTATGCTGGCCATATCAAAAGAATTAATTGAGGACACATCATCCCCCGTAGACGATTGGGATTGGAGCTGATGATTCTGCACAGGCTGTGGTCGGACAGAAAGCTCCTGTTGTTGCAGCTTCACCGAGAACTGGACGCAGCGAACCTGGAACGGTGCAATGAAATTCGATACATTTTACACATGTTTTCGACATTCAAGAACTAGCGATTCGTTTTATGAGAAGTTTAAATAAACGAAAATTTGTATTTAATTTTTGCCCGTTCAGAAATATTTGACGTTGGCTGTGTTAGCAGAAATCTGAGCTGGTTGATTTGTTTTATTCCTTGTTGTTACCTACTCTAGCTGACCTGTTTCAAGTTAACCATAGGAACGATTGCTTATAGTCGGAGCTGTTACTTGATTTGATATTCTGTGATTCCGTGATTTCTTTCTTCAAGTGATTGACAAGATTTCTAGACGAGTAATTAAACGTTGCAGATTGCATCAGTAAAAGTTGATTACGTTTACTTCTTTCCTAGAACTTCAGATTTAATTTACATTATAAAGGTCCACTAACCTTGCGGGGGCTTGCACCTGGACCAAAGTCAAGGCTGCCCACGATATCCTCGCCAAGTTTGTAGGCTGGTTTGAACAAGCAAAAACGACCAACAAATCCACGCTTGTTCGAAATGCGATAGAACTTCGGAGCCCGACGAGCAGTCACGTTCTAAAGGCATAAATTAGTCGGTATTAACAAAATATTTAGGCTACGTTATAATGCATTATAATTGATTTTTTACTAACCTTAAGATGGTGCCACGATATTTCCAGTTCGCTAATCTCGCGCTTCTCCAGAAACGGATTAGTGGGAGCCAACTCCTCGTTGGTCTCTACAGTTACAGGCAGCTCATCCGGACGGGAAATTATGGGAATTGGCAACACACGTATGGGGACGGTCAGGGTCTGCACCTTGGACTTGACCCGTTGCGTAGCAATTGTGATCTTGTAGAAGTACCGAATGTTGTGCCCTCTGTAGGTTGGTGGACCATCGCGCGGAATGAATTCATTAAAAAAATCTGAAAAAAATAATCTTGATTAATAACAATATCGTTGATAAGAATTCGAATTTCGCGTTAGTCAAACACCATTTATGACTAAATATAATCCTTGATTGAGATCCTTCGGAAAACTCTTTTTAGGACCGTTACGTCTGTCATATCGAAATTCACAACCAAACGGAGTACCTTTGTATTAACAATAAGCTGCTATTATTTGGGGTACATTTTCTTATATTCCAATCGCTCCCTTTAGAATTTATGCTTCTAAAACTTCTCGCAACAAAAAAGATCGTACATAAAGCTAGTCTTTGCTGTTTTCAACTTGGTAAGTCTACATTAGAAACGAAACCGTTCTTTTATAACCATATTCTTCTGGCGCTTAAGTCGATTCAGCAAGTGTGGGTAACTTCAGTGACATCCAAAGTGAACATTTGTGAGCTATCTGGAGACGTATACTTACACATCTTGGTCTCTCCAGGCTGGAGGCGCAGATCGCAGAAGAGGATCTTCGGTTTGGTGGCCACAATCACTTCGCCCGGCGCCTGGGTCACCGCATCCAGGGCTGTACGCCCGATCATCTCCGTGAGTTCCGTGGCTTTGTCACTGGTGGATGTGGAGTAGCTGGTTTTCCGGTAACAATGCAACTGCGCTGAGGCCCAGGCCAGGTTTTCTTGACTGCTGAGAATAACTGTGGTCAATTAAAGAAGTAAACAACTTTCGAGCTCACCTTGCTTCGTTGGCATTTCTGTTTTGGGATGTGGGGTGCTCATCCGAGAAGACTTTGTGGGTGAACTCGATTAAGCACTCGACTCTCTCGCCAGTGGCGTAGATGGCCGAGTCCGCCCTCAGCAATTTAGCCTTTATTTCAATCATTTATTTACGTTTTCCAACGGTAACATATCACATTAGAGGTGGAGATGTTGGGACGGAAAGCATCGATGTTTTATAACATCGGTTACATCGATGTATGGCAGGGCATTATCGATGTTTTTGCTTTAATTCATTAATAGCCCGTTTCCATCGCCACTTTAGTTCTCATTTTTAATGCGTGTGATTCCACTGTACTATGTGCACTGTGGGTGTCACAGCATAGGGCGACTCGCTTTGAGTTTCAACATTGCATGTATTTGTTTGATACTTTCTTAGAAGATTGCATTCTTCATTAAACTAGTTAAAACATTATTTTATGTCTTATATGGTATAGATAGTCCAAGACAAAGTCAGAAAATTGTATCTATATTCCGGGTTGTCTTCTTTAAATATAATAAAAATATATATTTTTGATCAGCACAACCAGACAATTCGATACAGCAATCGCAATCTGCTCATATAAAACTTCCAAACAGGGACCGTAATGATTTTAAATTTTACAATAAAGTATTTTGTTATGATTAATTCTAAAGTTATAATTATTAACCCAAACATAGTTGGTTTTTTTAAGTTTTTTATAAGTTTAAAAAAACAATGATTTTTATTAATGATAAAAATGATATACAGTGGTGGCCTGTGCATTATCACACTCACCTGCGATCGAAATTATTGTTATTTTTTTAATTCTAATTGAAGAGCAACATTTATTTTTAATGACAGATTAGTATAACAATAAGTCCTGTTAGTTTGGACTTTTGAACCATTCAATTGATAATTATATTTTTAGGTCCTTGGGATTTATCTAGAAAGTTCATTTCTTCAACGTTGTACCTTAGGCACACTAATTAGAATTAGTAAAAAGTCGGAGAAGGGTGAATAATATATAAATGTTCTAGTGTTGTAAACTTATGTCCAATCAAAATTCGGAGGTATGTGTACACAATTAAATGGTGCACAGAAACGGGTCACTGAAAAAACAGTACTTATTGGTTACAATAATAATTAAAAAAAGAATCCTAGCCTTTCATTTAGAAACAAAAAACGAAAATGATTACGATCGTAGGTGAGTGTGCTAAAGTAATGGCCACCACTGTGTTTGGGTTTGGATTTAAAGGTTATCCTCCCCAAAACTGCAGTCATCATCCTTAAAATAATTAGCATCCGGTGCATAGCACGGGCAATATAATTGGTAGCCATTGCCAAAAGTTGCTTTATTGATTTTCGGGTTGTACTCGACTTGCGTACGACTTGAGTTTGGAGTAATCGTGGCATTACCCTCCTTCGAACTTTTGCCCTCGTCAAGGGGATGGTTTGAAGAGAAACATTGAGTGATGTTGATCATAAAATTTAGCTGTAAAGCGCAAACACAGCTGTTTAGGTTTTGCTTGTTTGAGGTTAGAAAATTTCATCTAAGTAGGCCTTATGTAATCATTTGTCATTTTAGCAGGGAGTCTGTGTCCCTGTCACAGTTAACTCTTACATTGTCTATCGAGAAACCCAAATTTCCTTAGCAGGGTCTATATCTATTTGAGCAAATTTTAGCTGGCTCAGCCTAAGCGCTTCGTCTGCAGTGCGAGCTGTCGTTGAGGTCTAGGTAAGAGTTTTTCTAACTATCTCTTATGTCTTTAGTAAAAGATCATCCGTATAAAAAATAAATTTAAATCTTGTTCAACTGCACGCTAACCCAAGCTATTAAGCGGTAATTCAAGCTTCTTGTCAGACAGTTTCATTAAAATAAAAATAAATTGAATGTTCGACGAATGTTTTTATTTATGAAAATTAGAAGTTTAAAGCTTCTTTCTCGTCCCACGGTTGCTTCGTCATTTTTCTCTCGCCATCTGTAGTTCAGCTCCGAATCCCAAAAGGTAGTTTGGACCTTAAGGAAGTGGGAGCCGGATTGGGAACGGGGTTGTTCCGTCTAATGCTGCAGAAAGTCGCCCAGCATTCTGGCAATGGATGGATAAAAATCAAACCCACAGATTTCGAGAAAGTCAAGTGGTTTCAAAGCTGTCATTTTCTTGCACGGTTACACCGGCCAGCCTTCCTTCCCAAGACATTTACCCTATGGAAACACACGTGACTTCCTAATGATTTCTTAATAACTAATTACAGCTGCGATATAGGTTGTTCTGGATTTGTTACAGCCAAATTAAACTCACAGATTTTAAGAAAATTAAATTAAAGGTAATTTTTTAACTAATTTATGTTTTTGTTATACTATTTTACTATAGAAAGGTAATTATATCGATACACTGGCAAGGGCAGGTTACGACCTTCAACAAGCTAATAAAGCCATCTGGCAACGTTTTAGCGCCTAAAATCAGAGAACATATTTATGTTTTTAGAAAATTATCAATCGGATAATTATGCATCTGGACTTGCCCTCCTAATCATTATACTTTTGCAGAGGGTATATTGATTTCAGTCAGAAGTTTACAACGCAGTGAAGGAGGCGTTTCCGACTCCATAAAGTATATATATTCTTATCAGCATGACTAGACTAATCGATCTAGCCATGTCCGTCTGTCCGTCCGTTTCTACGCAAACTAGTCTCTCAGTTTTAAAGCTATCGGGCTG